TCCGGGGACGAACATGACGGCAGCGCCAAGTTAAAGTTTGTAGGTGAAAGCAGGGTTGTATGCAGAAGAAAAAACGGGGGATGAAACGCGGCGGGCCGGTGCAGATGTGAAGGAGCGTGTTGTGGCCAAGGGCAGCCGCGAGTGAAAAGAGAAGGACGTCGAAGGGAAGGCAGCAGGCCGGTCAGCCAATACGGGAGGAGTCGCACGCGCAATGGACGAGATACGTGACCCAGCGACGCCCCAAGCCTGTACGCCACTGCACGTCTTACCGGGATCGTCTCGCCTATCCGTCTTGGCACCCGTCCCTGCTTCTGTCTACCGACCTGACCTCGCATCACTCACGCCAAGTATCATCAAAGGCCCGATATCGTCAATTCCTGGACGGTCGATTCAATGGCAGCTTCAATTATAGTGGTGCTTTCACACAAATGCCGCCCTCATACAGCCCACGCCACCACTCATTCAACGGATTGTTTGGGGGCATCTGATGCTCAGTAATCAATACCGCCAGCTCGATATCTAAAATCGTATACACGACCCTCCTATATAACCACCACATTGAAGTCTTCTGTATGAAGATCATGAGTTATCAACATTTTAGTCTTCAATATGTAGAACACCACTTAGCCAGCCAGGCCTTGTGTCTCCCCGCCAGCCCTTCACAGCAGTCTCATGAACAAGGTAAAAGTTCAGTCTCACCGCAACTATTCTACAACCCCATCTATTGCGCCATTGCTCATTGTTTTGACGTTCTCTCGTTACCTTGCTATTGTTATCTGCTGTTCCTGAACAAAAGTCGATTAATCGTAAGATCCGAAAGCAGCTCATCCTCTGATGCGTACAGTCACTAGTGAGCTCGTGGTCTGCGGTAATAACCCAAATATCCCAGAAGTCAGCCGAGGAGCCTTGACAGAGAGACGTTTGGACCATGCATTCGACCCCGGAGACACCATTCCAACGGGTACCTTCACGTTGGGTTTACTGGCGGATGCATCGATCGCTCTCCGAAGAGAAAGCAGTGCACTAGAGATAGTGGACGAAGACTCATGCTCAGACTTTATAAGTTCCACCCCCCGCTCACGACGCCACGCCCTAGACCCCAGCACCTCATCGTCCGTCAAAGCCTTCCTCGCACCCCAAACAGAATCTCGCATCCCCCACGGCCCAGCCAACCAACCCCCAACCGACAAACTCCTCAAAACAGTCCCTACATCCCTCCGCAACCGCGCCAAATCGCTCCATGAACCTCAACCCCTGTCCTTCCGCTGGACCCTGCCACCCAATGCGCGTTTCCGCATTGGCGACCCAGAAGCCTTCGCTGCTCTGCAGGTCAAGAATATAGAATGGTACGTGACTACCGGTCTACTAGTCGAAGATTTCACGGGTCTACGCTGGAACGCAGGAAGTTACACGTATCTTCTGTACTGGCATGTAGAAGGCATGCCAACGCCCGACGGGACTGCGGATGCAGGACGGAAGTGGTTGAGTATCAACCCAGGTTTCATGCGCGATTGGCAGAAGGAGAAGTGGGAGAGGGAGTTTGGAGATGAGGTTCTGGTTGTGGAAGATGAGCCTGCGACGCCGATTGTTGAGCGAGAAGATTCGTGTTTAATCGAACATCACATTCCTGTTGTTACAGTGGGTAATCGCCCCCCTACGCCGAGTCGAGAGAGGTGCCTTCTTCCGGGATCGAAAAGCGCGTTGAGGAGTAGCTGTCAGAGTAGGCCGGTGTCTCCTTCGCCGTCACTTGTGTCTGACACTGGGTCTGAGTCGCCGAGGAGAGAGAAAAAGGTAAGATTGCTGAGGGAGAAGCGGAAGAGGATTGTAGTATGGGAAGCTGATGATGACGACGATGTGCCGGTGGCAGAGGCAGGTAAGTTTGTTGAGACGATGGTGGATGAGGTGGACACTCTGAGTGATAATGAGGGCAGGACGGCGAGGAATTGGGGGTGAGATGAGGGAGTGATAGCTCGCTCAAGTGTTCTATCAACACCGTTATATAATTCAAACTTGGTTAGAGTTGTACATACGACCATAGGATCTTGAACTCAGCGCTTCCCGTTCGCTCAGCGGTACTTAAGCAAGATACCGGCGGATTAGTACTCGGGTGGGTGACCACCGGGGAATCCCCGCTGTTGTATGTTTTTGCCTTCTTTTTTGCCATTTTTTTTGGTATTAGATGCGGCAGTAGTTGCAGAAATCCCACGGATATTCGCTGCCACTTCCCCACATATGCTACCTGAGGTGTTGAACACAGGCTCGCCGTTGAGCGAAAGCATTTCGCAACTCCATGTATTTTGGCGGTGGCCTATCTCCAAGGCACACGTGCTGCAAGTCGCACATTAAATGCCTACTAATAATCATACATCCTAGAAGAGAACCTTCCCAACCGATCAGCGACGTCGGTCCCGGCTACGGCTCCGAGAAGTGCGACTCCTCCGCCTACGTCTATCCCTATCATCACGTCCCCTATCTCTGCTCCGCTCGCGACTTCTCTCCCTAGGCTTGCGCTCGCGCTCCCGATCTTTATCCTCGGCCTCAGCAGCAGGAGCACCGCCAGGTTGGTAGCAGTCAGATTCCAGACGCCTACTACCACGGTCTCTACCACCATCCCAGCGGTCATAGTCTCGAGCCCTGTAGCCTCGTGCGCGGTCACGGCTATCATCACGCTTGCGAGGCCGACTGTCGTCGCGCTTGCGGTCACGACTGTCTTCGCGCTTCCGGGCACTGCCACTGCCAGCGCCTCCACCGCCACCGGGTACATAACGGTCGATGTTCTCGGGGCTTCTGGAGCGACGGCGGCGCCCGGATGCAGGCGTTCTCTCGCGCTCACGACGGCCGCCTCGTGAGCGGGAACGTTCTCTATCCCTGCGACGCTCCTCGCGAGGTGGCGACGGACTGCGCGTTTCATAGCGTGACTTGCGGCGGCTGGTGTGAGTCTCTCGGGAGCGGCTGCGACTCTCGCGACGGGATTGTTTCTCATCTCGGTCGTCGCGATCACGTCGTCTACTGTCGTTTGAGGGCCTGTAGGAATGTCGATCATCGTCACGTCGAGAACGGCGGTCGTCTTCGAAGCGCGAGCCACGCCTGTCGTATCGACTTCCGCGGGACTGCGATCGGTTTCTGCTACGCTCTCTCGTGCTGCGCGCGACACTGGGGGATCTGCCACGCTTCGAAGGCAACTCAGGTCGCTTGTCATCCCATCGGCCCTTGGCCGCCTCTGTTGCGGATGGGGCATCTGTCATAGTGGTATCTTCGTCCTTCGCAGCCGCCTTTGGCGTACCTGGAGCGGGGGACTTTGCGTCTTTGCTGGGTGACCTTTCAGATCTGCTGTCAAGCCTGGCCAGTCGAGCCTGCACGGGATCGCGGGGCACGAGCGACTTGGGAGGCTGAGCTTTTCGCATTGGTGGTTCCAGTGATTCCGATCGCGGAAGCAGAGGCCTCCGTTGCCGTGTCTTCTTCATCTCCTCACCTTCCTGTAGCAGGAGCGCCAATGCCGTGTCATCATCAACTTTGATGTCTTCAGGCTTGATCGACAGAATACGTTCAGGCGACCGGGTCTTTGTCCTGCTCCTTCGCCTGCTCCTCTCTCGTCCACGCCGGTCCCTTTCGCGATCGGGAGTCCTGCTACGGCCACGACCACTGCGATGGCGACCACCGCGATCTCGGTCAATCTCTTCTTGTAGGCGGCGCTCTCGCTCAGCGTCTTCTTCGCGGATCTTCTTGAGACGGGCTTCTCGGCTCTTCTCATGCTCCTCTCGCTCCTTCTCGCGGCGGAGACGCTCCTCTTCTCTCTCCTTGTCAATTCTCTCTCGATCCTTGCGTCGGCGCTCTTCGTCTTCTTTGTCGCGCTCTTCACGCTCCTTGCGCCTGCGCTCCTTCTCCTCTTGTCGCGCCTTCTCACGGGCTTCGTCCTCTTCCTTCTCGCGGCGCTTGCGCTCTTCCTTCTTTGCCCTCTCCTCACGTTCTCTTTCGCGCTCTGCCTCCAACTCCTTTTCTCTCCGGGCCTCACGCTTCTCTCGACGAGCGTCTGCTTCTTTAGCCCACTCCTCTTCGCTCTTGCTGCCTCGTTTCTCCTCTTCAGCAGCCGCCTCAGCGCCTATTTCGGCAATGCGGTACTCGCGCATTTTCGGTACGCCGTGCTCATCAATCAGTTTGTCCAGCAGAGTATTGACCGTGTTCATAATGTTGCCGTAGATGTCGCTGCGCTCACCCGCGCCTTCTATAAGTGTAGTCGCCATTCGGGGATCCTTGGACAGCAGCGAGGGATTGCGATCGGTTTCGCGGTCGACGAGCTCCTTGAGAGCGGCTTGCAGTTCATCCTTAGCAGGCTGGCACGCGAACGTTAGCCTAGTCTATAGTAATAACCAATCGTTGGCCACCTACTCCTGATACATATTGCTTCATCAAGTCTCTGCGTATGTCGTCGTATGCGCCCTTCTTACGGAACATGTGCACCAGGCTGTCGATGGCCGATCGCTTCGCCTGGGAAAGCGGGAGTTCCGATGGCCTCAACTTTTTGCGCATAGTCGCAGCGCCATCGCTCTCACTTGGGCGCTTGCGGCCGACTTCCGCCATGGTTGAGTTTACGTGATTGCGATCAGTCGTTTTGTGTCGTTTGTGTTGCGGCCCGGCGCATCAAGACGGGGGTGGGAAAGGCTGGCGAGCAGCGAATGACGTAGAGGGCTAGGCTGGTGCGCCAGCTCAAAAGGGTAATAGTGAATGGATTGTAGAGCGAAGGCTATAAAGTGAGCGACAAGATCAGGAGAGGCGCGAAAGCGGCATTGTCGCGGAGGTGAGGTCGGCGGACCTTGGTTCCGCATCCGCGTGGGTGGTTCGTTCTTGGCGTTCCGGAGCTTGACGATGGAGCATCGCAGCCCAGAAAGCCAGTACTGGTACAGCGGTGACAACGCGCCCTCACGACACCCGCCCCGATTGCTGCTGCAGCACAGAAGGAGTCTTCCACACCGAAACAACTACCACGACTACACCCGCTCACCATGGTCCACAAGATCCTCTTCTGGAGCGGCTTTGGTAGGTCCCCAACCGCCCGCGCACACCCCAAGGGCCTCTACTGACGACATATACCAGGCGTTGCCGCCCGGCTATGGCAACTCGGCATTGAGATGCGCCCGCTCTTCAACAAGGAATCCCTCTGGGTCTACCCTCTCTACGCCGGCGCCGGTGGCAGCTTCGGCTACTGGCTCACTGGCGTTGAGAACCGCCAATTCCGCCTCCTAGCCGACCGACGAGACGCCCTACTCGAGAAGCGGGCGCGGAGGAAGGAGCGTGAGGAGGCCGCTGGTACCTCATAGGCGGCCATGGCCTGCAGTGGCAAGAGACAGTGGTGCGAGGGGTAGGGGAAGCTGGGACTGGGCATCGCACACACGGCCAGAGCGTCATCTCAACTACAATGGGACTGAGACTGTTACGCGCTACTTCCAGCCCATGATGAGCGAATATGGACATGCAATATGAGCGGGGTTGGATGCGTTGAGAGCAGCCTTCTACCACATCTTGGCTGGCGATTCGTTCTGTACAAATTTCATTTCAAACCAACTACAAATGCAAAATCGCAATCAAACACCTATGCCAAATTGTGCTCAAAATGCGAAATATTGCCTAGTCGCGTAACGCGTGACACTACCCTAATGGATTAGTGCATGACTCCTGCCTCTGCTATTCCGAGCTCATGGAAGGGCATCCACCTTTACGAACACCCTGTCAACATTACCATGACTTGATAAACCCGCGCCACGACCCTTGTGGTCAACCATCATTATACGCATCTCGTCATGTCTGCCGAGAACTTCCTTACGCCTACCGGCGACCACGCAACGCCGTCTTCGCCGATGTCCAACGGCAACCTCAAAAGCAAAGGCATCGTCGTGTTCTCAGGTGGAAGCGCTGCAAACAATCTAGTCGATGTGTTCAAGAAAGTCAGAGAAGACAAGAGATGCCCGCTGAGCTATGTCATCCCTATCAGTGATAACGGCGGCAGCTCGTCTGAGCTGATACGCGTCTTCGGGGGACCAGGTATGCGCCGTCTAAGGCAGGAATAACACAACACTGACAAGAACAGGTATCGGTGATGTGAGAAGTACGAGAATGTTCTTCGTGAACAATGGTCTAGATGTTAACCGGTCTAGGTCGTCTTGTCCGCCTGATCCCGGATGACCCCGATCACGATGACAGCGAGAAAGCAGCTATCAAGACCTTCTTCAACCACAGACTGCCCAAGGAACGGTCTTCAGCTCGAGACGAGTGGCTGCAAATTGTAGAGGCCGAGCATGCGCTCTGGACGAATATCTCGACCGCGAAGAAAGAGCTCATACGATCGATACTCAATGTTGTCGCGTACGAGATCGTCAAGCGTCGCCGGCCCTCATCGAGTTTCGACTTCTCAGGCGCGAGTATCGGCAACTTGTTTCTTACTGGGTATGTAATTGATCTACTGTAGCAGTGTGCTTTTCTCCATCCATACGATCGATCAAATCCCGATTTCATTGTCTCTGTCATGTTTATCATCGCGTTCCTCTTCAGCGCACCGACCGGCATCAGACTTCTCGAAGCTGACACTCACAGCGCTCGACTCTTCACTGGCTCGTTTGAGTCAGCCATCTACCTACTCTCCAGCATCTGTTCCGTGCCAAGCCACACATCAGTCTTACCCGCGATCAACACCAACTTCACACACCACATCTCAGTCAGCCTCGCAAACGGCGACACCATCACCGGCCAGAACTCCATCTCCCACCCTTCCATATCTACAGCTCTGGTATCGGGAGGTGCACCAATAATCGACGAAACCGAACAACACGATCGAATCGAAGACGCTAATTTACCCGGATCTTTACCGACTCTTCGGAAGCAATACATCACCTTCTCTAAAGCGGATGAAGAGGAGCTGCCAGCCAGGATCGAAAGGCTGTGGTATATTAATCCTTATGGCCAAGAGATCCGACTTTCCGCGAACCCTACCGTGCTCAATGCATTGAACGAGGCACAGGCCGTGATATACAGCATCGGCTCGCTCTACACATCAATCATCCCCTCACTAGTCCTCAAGGGCATCGGCGAAGCCATCAGCAACCCCGCAATCCGCTACAAGATCCTCATCCTCAACTCGACCATCGATCGCGAGACCGGACCGTCATCCAACCCCTACTCTGCCCTTGACTTCATAGCTGCCATCGCGAAAGCATGTGAAGACTCCAAGAGCGTGTTCGGGCCACTCGATAAGAGTCAGTACAAGAAATACGTCACACACATTATACATCTCCAAGGCCCAGGGACTCCAGCAGTCGACCGAGACGAGCTTAAGAGTATTGGCATTGAACCTATTCGTGTGTATGGGAAGAAACATGAGGGTGAGAACTTTGTTAGGTATGATGGCACGGCTTTGATTCAGGCGCTTGAAGTTACGATGGGGAAGAGGGACCCGAGGATGCCTAGTCGACGGAATACGTTGGAGGGACCGGCGAGGTGAATGGGGATTATCTTCCCTTCACGAATCATAATTCGGTGGAGCAATTCGTTTCCGATAGCTTGAGTGGGTGCCTGGTGGTCTTTGTTGGTTTTATATGTGCCAAGCAGGTATCTCTGTACTAAGCGCGGATCCTTCTCTTTCGGGTCGCCCCTTCGTCCCGTCTCTCTGTCGTGCCACTCCAGACTGACCTATGATGCATCGCAATCTACACCGGGTATAGTTTGCTCGCAATGTTAGGGACGCGAAAGTTCCCATTGAAAGCGCATATATCTGGTTGCTAGACCCATAACCTTCATCAGCTTTCTCATAGCGCAGACTTTAACAACTCCATCACCAGCAAACTGTCATGGGCTTCATATTCTCATCAATCTTCTCACCCGAGCCTTCGAAGCCAGACTCTAAGCCTCCTTATGATGGCCCAAATCGATACCCGTATGTGCGTAACGGCCAGCTTGTCCCCGTCGAAGCGAATCCCACCATTTGGTACGAACGCTTGTTTGAAGTTGCGGACTGCGTACAACACCAAGACGCGGATAAAATCATCATATTCACCCCCATCTGCGATGAAGACAACGGCGAATATCCAGACCCCAGATCGAGGCATGGCTGGCCAATTAAGCGCTTGCGAAAGGCGTACGAGCTCCTCGGTGGACCACACCCGCGGATCGTGCGGTACGTATGACTCTGCTTGTGTACTTGGCCGCGCTTAATCTTTTAGGTATATCGGCGCGCTATACAGCACTTCGGGTGATGGTATAGTCGTTGAAAGACTGATACCAGGCCAGCTCACGAGGGTTGAGGTGCCTGCGATGACAGTGCCTGTAGTAGTGCAAACGATGTCGCACGACGATAAGATTATGTTATCGCTGTATTACCGATGGGCGATACAGGCACTCTCCGCCTTCCGGTTCATGCATGCTAGATCCATGGTCATTGGGTTCTTCTCATCACAACTTGTGTGGATACGTCCAGACTTCTCGCTCGCAGTGACTGGATTCATCAGCGCCACTGCACCAGAGATCGAGGACGAGTTCTGGAAAGATGCTGCTGAATGTTCGAAAGCAATACGACAAGAGTCCGGTTTACCAGAACCATGTGATCCGGATAACATGGCATCGGAGTGTAACTGGAGCGACGGTGAGTGGGTAGGGGACGACATGATATATGATGGTCCTTTTGATGACACTCCCGAGCACGGAGTTTCATCAGGAAGTGTAAAGGCAGACCTGTGAGTATTAGCGAACCATATTCCACGCACATAACACGACTAACCGTACAATCGCACTCTAGCTTCTATTGGGCCACTTTCGTCTGGCGGCTTATGGCGAACGACTTCACTGCTATATCGCCATCGCGTCGTGGGCCTCGTGGAGGACTATGGGAACCTACGTATCCTATGGAAGGAGGCCACATAATTGAAGATGCGCCAGATTTGTCCGAGATCATGCGTGAGAGAGAACGGCGCAAGCTATTCCAGCAGCTAGAGAGAGCTAGACTGGGACATGTCCTGTTCAGCGCTTGGAATGAACAATATAGTACCGTGGATGAGGTCGTGCATGACATTGAGTTGGCGGCAGCTGATGTGGGCATAACCATTTCTGGCGACGAGGTTGATATCGGTAAGAAGTGGGAGGATGTGTTCGAGTTCAAGGACGGGAGGCTGGGTTTCAAAGTTAGATCTGATTAGGTCAAGTTTGTTGGTTTTAAATGTGCCAAGCAGGCACCATTGGCACGGTCCGCGAGGCGCGATGGCGCTTGCCTCAATCGACAAAACTTGGGTCGGTGTATATAGTACTCAATGTATCGCGATTTAGAACTTCCAACATCTTTTCTCGTGCTGTATAATGGGTTCGTCAATTTCATATCTCAATGGGCCACAGCCTGAAGATGAAGAGCGCGCGGTTGGAAGACACACTATGTCGCTCAACCGTGTCTACCGTACCCCTACGCCCCTCGAAGCCAGCACAGAGCCAGGAGACACAAGAAACTGGTACTGTGATTTCTGGCAACATGTCTGTGCGGTGCCTCACAAAGATGGGAAGAGCATCATCCTCTACGAACCTAAGGAGACGCAGCATCCGGATCCAAGGGTAAGACCAGAGTGGGCGAGCAAGCGGCTACGGAAAGCTTATGAGCTTCTTGGAGAAGATCACCCCCGGATTGTTCGGTATGTGCAGCGAGGGGCTAGTACTGTGTTGACGTTGACGAGATGGTAGGCGTACCGGTCTTGTGAACAGCGATGCCGGCAACGGGGTGCTAGTCGAAAGATTAACACCAGGACCACACTGGGGTGATCTTCCTGCCATGACCTTGCCTGTACCCGAAAAGCCTTCAAGAGAGGATCGCATCATGCTGGCTTTGTATTACCGATGGGCTTTGCAATCGCTGTCTGCCATTGCCTACTTCCACTCTCGCTCTGTATACCTGACGTTCTTCTCGTCAACTAATGTATGGCTGCGCTCTGACTATTCCCTTGCTATCGCGGGATTTATCAACGTCGACGGGCCAGAGCTTGATGCTGAGAGTAGGCGAGACGCTTGGAACGAGGCGAAGCGGAGCGAGAGACGAGAGCGAAGATACCAGGAATGGTATGATGCTGGGGCTCCTGTCTCAGTATGTCCTGAGGATGAGAGTGGGGAAGAGAGCGAAGACGAGAGCGAAGAGATACCAGAACTCTTCTCCTACCCTTGGGATACTGGTGAATGGGTAGGAGGTGGTGGCGCGATACACTACGAAGAGTATTCCACCGAGCCCCCTGAACAATGTGGAAGCCATCGTGAGTCTTTGTGAGTATCATTACCCTCACATTCGTCAAGACATTTACAACGGGTCGCTAATTGTGTGATCGCGACAAAGGTTCTACTGGGCTACCTTTGTCTGGGAACTCATGACCAATACCCAGACGGCCGAAGCGCACTGGAAACGGGGCATAGACTGGGACCCGTTCTCTTCGCCTGACGGCGGCCCACCGAAGCCAGCAAACGATTGGCGTGATCAGCTTCAAGTGTTAGAGGAGGCTAGGCTTGGAAGTGTTTTGCTCAAAGCCTGGAAGAGCGAGTACGAAAGCGCAGAGGAGGCCGCCGAAGATGTCAGAAAGATTGCGGAGGAGATGGGTATCAAGATCGTCAGCAGTGCGTCGGAAGTTGATGACGCTTGGACGAACGTGTCCCAGCAGGATGAAGTTGATATTGGCGAGCCTTGGGAGGACGTTTTCGAGCTAGACGAAGCCAAAGAGAGGTGGGGCGCTCGAACGCTTAGGTTCAAGCGGCAAGGCACGCATGTGAATTTGCCTGTGGCAGGATAGAAGGCAAGACCGGGGCAATGAGTCGGTCATGCTTGTCATTACGTGCTATCAAGCGCGCAGTCGTCCAGTATGCATCGTGTTCGAAGACCCCGTCCTGAGGCGAGGAATATTCGTATATTCCTCTCTCATGGTCCTTCAGTACCCTTCATGCATGATTGCAAGCGAAGCAGACATTTGGTGGCGACACGTAAACGAACCAGGCTGCCATCGTAACTTTCTGAGGCTCTGCGACGCTGGTTATGTGCCACACCATGACATCCCCGCGCATGCATTGCATATCGCCCGACGGATCAACTGGTCAAGAAACCTGTCTCTGGCTGCTGGAAAGTCATCCCAACATGCTCTCATCGGATCGTCTAGTGTTGATCGGAAGCTGTCAGTCACTGCTTCGGAGTGTGTAACCGAAAGCGTGATTAAGATCGTCCTGTAAAGCCACGCCATCTTGTCTCTGCCGCGGCCTGCCGGATGTAAGAGCTTGGCTGTCGAAGGATCAATCTGGCGGTCAAGGCAACGGTACCGAGTCGGCGGAATGCTGCGTTGGTGCGGGGTGGTAGGCAAGCCGTGATGCTCGCCCGTGTCTCAGACATGTACGTACCCGCAGATCGTACCAGCGAGATGCCGAGCCTCTCAAGTACCGTGTGGCTCGGAGAGTAGTTTCACACCGATCAAGATACTCCGGGCTTCCGGTGCGCTTCAATCTGTTCGTTAGCAGATTTGTAGCTATCAAGTCTGGTGCAGGATCGCATCCTTGCTCAGGTGGCTGTTTGTGGGCGGATGATTTCTCAATAGAACGCACTTGCGTGACTACTTGCTCGGGCCGGAGACTTTGTCATGCTCCTCAAAACGCAGGAGAGATGGTTCAAGCCGACATATCCGGTCCGAGACTGATATGGAGGATCTTCATTATAGAAGTGCATGAGCGAGGGCGTGTCTGCGTCCGGTGAGCGAAGATCAGGAAGTGTAACGATGTTGTATATCTATCGCGGCTACTCGTAAGAGCTGCAGTCGCTCTCACCTATTAGAACCGATTTTGGAACACGGTTGTGGTGTTGCAACCCAAACGTGCATAAGGCTGCGTGTCAAAGATGTCATCCAGCCGCGTATATGCATGTCATGCGCGGTGGATCCGGTGTGTTCGATAGGCCTCCAAAAGCGATCTAATCCGCAAGCTTCCGGCAAAAAGGACATTGGTTGGATAGAGAGCTGAAGATTGGAGGGCGGCACGAGGTGCATGGAAGGGCGTCGAACTGCAGTAAACAGGTCGACAGCAACGCCATGTGCAGTAGTAGATCGACGCTGCGCGAACGCGCGCTGAGCCGCACCGAAGAACGGTCTGAAGTCCATGTTGGAGTGTAGGTGACTGACATCGCATGGGAAGATCGAATCGCACTGCGATACACCACAGGGCGATAGACGAGAATGTTTGACATACGACACGCCCAGCAGTGATGCAAGCGGGGCTGAGTGGTATAAGTGCAGACACAGATAAGGGGTGTACATGCGCATCACCAGGTACAACTACCAGTGACTGAATGACTTTGGTGTAACCAGCGGGTTTTTACCTCGACTTGTCGGTGGTGATTGGATGCGTTGACCGAGCGGAACGAAGGGCACCTGGGCAAGCAGGCGGGTTGGACGTCAGCAGGACGCTGTCTCAGCCATCGATAGTCGTTACTCAAAGAAAGGATCCTCATCTTTCCCGTGCACCTTGCGATGGTGGCTTGTAGTGGTCAGTTGCCTTCTTTTGGCTGGCTCCTGGGCTCGCGGCGAAAGGGGGTGTTGAGCCGTGCACGGATCAAAAGCGGGGTCATGACGCCCCGTTAGCGTGGTCAATCAATGATCGCTTCTTCTGCACTGGCACCGTGAACGTTCCTCACACCTCGACGACTTCATGTGTTTGGCTCCACGGAGGGCAGGCAAAAAGAGCAGATATTACATCAATCATTCGCGAAGATTCTCAACGATTGCAGCTGTAATGCATATGCGACCTTATCCAAACACCACCACCACCAGGCTGCATGCAACAACAGGCAGCCGCTATGAGTCCTCAAATATGCATGCGCATGGCTTATGCATATTTTATACGATCTTTAACTGGCCCGGTCAAAGTTGAGCCTCAAGACGTGTAGCAACGAAGCTATGCTGCGCGTTCACGCAAGAGGGCGGGGTTATTTGCCTGTTTGTTCCCCTCAGCCTGGTGGCTTAGACCGGTGAGAGCCTTGATATCACCCTCAAGTGGGGCTTGCGAGTGCCCTTCGATCCGACCAATTAACGCTTGTTTCATGTAGACCCCCCGGGGAAACGACTGGATGTGGCTGTTGTACTCCTAGAGGGACCACAACCTCGCTTGCATCAACAAAGTGTTACTACTGCTCCGGGCAAAGATCAAGAGCTACAATCTTGCAGTATGACAGGAAATTTCCCAATCTATATCTTCGGTCAACGTCCTCCTGTTTCTGCCTTGGACTTTCCAGTTCGCCCTGTCATTCACTTCCCGTGTCTTCATCACATTGCCCTGCCTGTTTCGATCATCGGCACCAAGTCTTCAGTCACTTGAGCATCTAGCCATTGGCTATACTTCCTTCGTTCAAGATATCCCTCCCATAACCTCTACGAACCATTCAATGGCGACTCCACAGCAGGGACAGTACCAGGGTCATGTACCCCATCAACATCAGAATGTCAGCCAGCAACGACAAGTCCCGAATGGGCAGCAGCAGAGCTCTGGACAACAGCAGAACTTTGGACAGGCCCAGCAGAGGCCAGCTCAGCCCCAACAGCAACCTCTAAACCCATACGCCAACTACGATCCCCAATTGGCTTCCTTCATCTTAGAGAAGCCAAGGAACGCCACTTCCTGGGAGGATGCCACACCTGAGCAACAACACGTCGCACTCCAGGAACTCCACGGCGAACTGCACAAGTTTCGTCGAAACCATAATAACGTCAAGAAGGCGATGAACGAGATCCCTTCGCCAAACTGTCGCCGGATCATCAACGAGCTCGTTGAGGACCAGAACGTTGAGCTTGCGAGGTACAATAGAACCATCCAATACAGAATTGCAAGCGTTGTAAACAAATGGCGCTCAGTCAACCGACGAGAAAGGCAGCTGGTGCGTGTAGACATCATTCTGGAGACCGAACCTTCTGGGTTTCAGGAGCCTATGCAAGCGAGAGCTGTGGTCGGAGGTGCGAGCAATGGACCCCAAGATGTAAACAAGAACAAGCAACCAGGAAACCCGCAAGGTCAACAGTTCCCGAACCCCTCTACCAACCCCGGCCAAAACATGCCACAGCAACAAAGACCTCCCCAGCAGCAGCAACCACAACATCCTGGCGCGCAAAACTTCGGACAGCATCCTCCAAACCCGGGCCACCTGAACCCAATGGCAGGTCCTCCTGGAGGCCCTCCTCCACCACCGCCGCCTCCGGGCATGTCTGCACCACACGAGATGGGTCGTCCACCACCCCCACCGAATGTTGGACCAGGCCAACACATGCCGGGCGTGCCATTGCAGCATCTTCCGCCTCCTCCTGGCCAGCCCCATGGCCAGCCCTTTGGTCAAATGCCAATGCCTGGTACATTTCCGGACCAGATGCATATGCCGCCAGTTGGCATGAGGCACGTTCAAGGCCTGAATCCTGATCACCTCAGACATCATAAGAAGAACCACAAGGTTCGTCGCGATGATTCTGGCTCATCGTCCGACAGTGACTCCTGGGAGTCTGAGTCGGAAGATTCCAGCTTTGTCAACATTGAACATGATCGTATGGATGTTGATCGACGTGGACGAGGACGTCAGCGGCCCGGCAAGAGATCGAAGAAGACTCAGAGACATCGATCACTCAGCAAAGCTAGAGCCCTCAGCCGTAGTCGTAGCCGAAGCCGTGCACGCAAGAACAACGTCGATCCATATATTGCAAAGACTACCCGTCGACACCGCACTTCAGACATAATCGATGATCAACGCAATGGTAGGCATAGCCCAGAGTCCTTCACTACCGACTCTTCTCGGTCTTCTCACAACAAAGCGCCGCCTGTTCATATCCACTTGAGCACCAACAATATTGTGGAAGACCGAACACGTTCCGGCAATGCCTCACCAGTTGGCCTCTCCAACGAGAAGAAGAAGAGATCTGGAAAGTACTTCTCCTCGCACGGCATGGCTAGGGAGACCTCCAACTCATCGTCAGAGCGTGGAAGCGGCACCGAGTCTATGAACACTACATCTGCCCACACAGCAGATGATGGTATCTTTGACACTCCTATACGCCGTCGCCCTTCTTTCACGCACGTTCATCGTCGCCAGAAGGTCTCTTACGGAAGAAAGTCACCAAATGTGTTCGGCCAGCCGCACCCCAGCCACATCTTCGACGAAGATGTTGACCACCGTCGGGTACAGAAGGTCAGATACCACAAAGAGACTGTAGACGACTATCCTCACCCCCGAAGCCCACGCGCACACATGCACGAGCCTGAGTCATACTTCGATGACTACCCAGTTCACACTACTCGTCCAAGCCTACCAAATCGCCGCGCAACCATGGCCAATCCACCCAACATCCACAATCCTTTTGCGCAATCACACTTCCCACCCAAGCCAGTGCGCGCCTCATCATACCTCGCGGATAGACACGAGCAAGGCTACAACTACCCCCAACCACGCGCGATTGGAGACCAAGACGAATTGGATGCGCGATACGCACTCAATGACATCCACGCAGCTCTTGAGCACATCCAAGACAAGAAAGAGCGGTCGGCGAGACGCTCGAACATGATGGGTAGGAGGGACTCTGCCTTCCAGTATGAAGACGATGAGTGGCATGCTAGGGTGCCGTTGGGTGGGCGACGTGGAGGTTATGGTGGATACTAGGTGATACGCATGTTGTCTGGTTTCTCGCTCCTCTTCTCGATACTCTTGTTTCTCTTATGAGTGTGTCAGTCTTTCGGCGATACGTTCTAGCAAATGACTGCTTCTACTCAACTCTTCGCGTGGGACTTTTTCGGCCTAGGGGATTACATCACGGCGTCATGAGTCTGTCGATTTAGGGTAGGCATTTTGGATATACTATCTCAATCTATATCGCATACCTGCGATGGTTACATTCTCTTCTGCATGACAATCTGATATCTAGTGCACCAAGTCCACTAGCCCTGATCCAGCTGGGAAGGTGTGAGCACCTTTCTTAGCTCTCTTCAATCTCAGCATGGATGCTGCTATCCTTCATAATACACTCACCATACACGGCGAGTAATGATTCAAGATTAGTCTTTGCATAGAAGTGCGTTTCAACGAGAAGACCACTTCGAGCATAATACGCTGCTTCTTTGTACTTTCCCTCCATGAAGTGGTTGTCCGCGAGCATATTGTATCTGGATGGGACAAATTAGCATGACACAAAGAGCATGATGGGGCCCGAATACTTACGCAGATGATAGCAACTGGTCGCGTACGCCCAGTTCGTGCAGTAGATCAACGTAAATGCGAAGCTTTGCGCAGGATATTTGACCTTCCACATTGCTGTAGGTGTAGCACAAAGTTCGCTCTGACGCGTCAGGCTCGAGCGCAGGCGCACATGCTTTGCAACTGCAGTCGAAGCCCCATCCTAGCATCAGTGCTGCTTGGCGAGCATCCCTGCTCTTTTCCCAATCTTCCGCGATGTAGTTGATCAGGATCTCTTCACCAGCGTTGATCTGTCGTGTAGCAACCAGTCGGGCATAACCTTTAAGATCTGCGCCATTCTCGTCGATGTAAAGTACTGCATTGGGGATGCACGAATGGTTGGCGAAGGATATCGTGCGATAGACAACTAGGCGGGTGTGCTGGATACCTACACCGGTATAATCACGGAAGTTGAAAGCGTTGTACCGACAACGATCTACAAGGTGCTCGACGTCTGTAGCCCTGGTCTTCGAAGTGTAGAGCTTGTGGAAGGCTTCTCGATCTTGCCAGCTTAGCTGTGTGTATGCGGTCGTCAAACGCGCAGTAGTTTTGTTGACCTCTTCGTCATAGAAAGCGATGACTTCCCTATTCTGCTCCTCGGGCTGCTTGCGTGTGTCGCATTGGAAAAATGCGTTTTCGTCGAGAATGAGAGCGCCTTTCTTGAAGTTTTGCTGTGCGACAAGGCCATTACCCGCAACAACGTTAGCATTAGTGACCCGTACCTGAGGATGATTTGTTGCCATGTTTATCGTGTAGTTGACGACTTTTGTCCGTATGGGTGATGTGGGAAGTCTACCAAGGGACGTCAGATCGACCCTTATATCCCGTCAGCTGCGGCAGTTTGCTGATCTGGAAGCATAAACAGGAGTCTGGTTTGAGAGAGTATCATCGACACGCTCATTGTTCAGGACGAAATACAACGAATGATCATATGCAAACACTACATAGGCTTGATTGAAAAAGGACCCATGGCTGCCTTGTTGTACTCCTCAAGCAGCCTTTCGTCCTCCTGGTGACACTGTCCTATTATCTCGTTTAGCTGCGGTTTGCTAGGCGTAGCAATAAAGAAGTTCTTCTCGACGATTAGCCCTGCGTGGGCAGTTTGCTTTGCCTGCGCGTAGTCTTCCTTTCCGAAGTAAAGTCGTGCGAGTTCTAGACATCTGTTCGAAAGTCATCAGTGGTGTAGTCATGAAGAGTAAATGGTTTGACCTACGCGTTGGATAGGTCTGCGTCCCATCTGCCCAAAGAAGTAAGAATGTGGATGTAGCCCGCCAGGTTCATGATGCTGTGATTCTTCTCCTCCTCAGTTACTGCTGCTACCATAGCAGTGATGTTGGTCCTGTATTCGCGGACTAGATTGCGCGAGATCGTATCCATAACGGTAAACGGGTATGTACACCCGTTGCACGAACACGTGAATCCCCAGTGATGGTTCAGTACAGCGTTTCGAGCTACATGATTGCCGAGCCAGTCGCGTTCCATGTAATTTACGAAGATCTCGGCTCCTTCTGGGATTGCTCTAGTTGCCACAAGCCTTGCCTGGCCTTCCGGAAACACCGTGCGGCGAGGCCATATTTCGATGGTAGCGTTTGGAACACACGAGTGGTTGATGGAGCTGATGTCTTCATACACTACCAGGTGTGTTTTGTTATTGCTGGCATTCACGAAGGTGAATGCGTTGCGTTCGAAACGATCGACGTATCGATCGAGTGTAGAACCATGGGCTGGCCGGGGCCAGAGCGTACGTAGTGTTTTTCGCTGCTCTAATGTAAGATCGTTCACAGCTGCATAGATGACAGAAGTTGCATGTATTCGTTGAGCAGCATAGAAAGTGTCGACGGTAGCCTGATCGGACCACTGGTTTTCAGTACTACCGGTGTTGCAGAAGACAATGGGGTCTTCCGTGAGTATGAGGTCGCCCCGTCCAAGTGATCGATTCGCAAATAAACCGCGCCCTCCGAGTGGGCTGTTCTGGGCTTGATAGTTCATTTGGAACTGCTGATGAGGTAGTGTCCGTTTCTGGCTGTGAAGCTCTACCTTCTGCTTGTGGATGCTGCATTATATGTGCTGAGCACCGAGACAATTCCATTGTTAGCAAGCAACTTTGTGTTAGACTCCATGCAAGACATGAAAGTGAGATCAAGACACATGTTCGAGAGCAGATGAAGTGACGATACCTAGACAATCCATCCAGTTTGCTCGACATCGCAGCCGCAGTGGCCATGCAAGGCCTATTGTGTTTTGTGAACAGAGTCCAGATCTAACGATCCGCGGCGTCATTTCGTATATCAGAGTCAGTTGTGTGATAGCGGTCTCAGGCTCCGCGGTGATGCTGCAGGCTCAGGAAAAGAAGCACGTCATGCACGCGTCCTCACATCGCTTGCTCGCCCGCTTGTACCTGCCAAGCCATCAGGGGCGCCATGTGGGGTATCTCCACTCACGCGCGCCTCCAACGCTCACTAGCATCCATTCACAAAGCCATCCATCGACATCACCCAAAAAAGCAAGCCCCCATCGCGCGCATCAGCTGCTCACTTTCTATCCTCTAGCCTGCCCAAATCCAATCCATAGATTCAACGCGCCAGTCTCGCGGCAATAGGACTAGGCGCCACTAACTTTCGGGCTCGCAGCCGTGTAGACACGAGAACACGAGCCCCCATCCGAAACACGTCTAGCCCCACGGAGATGACCAGACCTCTGGGCACGCTGACTGGGCGGCCATCATTGGGCGGGTTGCGGGAGAGTATTGATATGCTTGTTCTTTACGAGATCCTTCTCTTTAGGGGCGGAGGGCCAGAACAGGCTGACGGGGCAGGGTAGAGTGAATGGGGATTAAAAGTCCCTGAGAACCAGTTTTCTGGTCCTACGTGATGCGCGCGCGTGCTGGGCTTCACTTTCTATCGCGGTCGTAGTCGTCGGTCGATCCTTACTTTTGACTCTTTCGCTCTTTCCTAATACATTTTATTATCTTCGTCACTACACGTTCGAGGTTCCGCCAGCATCACTATTGAGTTTCACGACTGCCGACTGCCGTTACTAGTGCATCACAACGCGACAAGTTGGGTAGCAAGAAAGAAAGTATGAAGGTGCTCGTTGCCTTGTTTGGCCTGGTGGTCGCCGCGCTTGCGCAAGATGCCTCAACCTCAAGCTGTAAGTTTGGTCGACGGCAATAGTTTTGCATGTAGTATGCCTGGAATCTCAACTCTAATCAAGCATCCGATGTAGATACCGGCCCAATGTTCGACCCGGACACGGCGCCTTTCTTTGGCCCTAGCACCATCGTCTATCCCTCCGTCACCGAGTCCGCTCCGGTACTTTCAAACTTACCGACTCTCACACCTTCCGGCAGCACAGTCATGATCTCCATGTCTAGCAGCGCTATGGCCAACTCGACGCTCTCGACTTCAACGCTGTCGCGCAACTCTACAACATCGCATACCTCGACACATTCTTCCACACACTCATCCACATCGGTCAGGACTACGCGCACGGCGACTCCTACAGCGGATGAGACTTCGGCGAGTGCGTCGGTTCCGGCCGAGACGGGTGCAGGTGTTGCGAACTACCCTGAGACATTTGGTGCTATCGTAGGAGGTCTTTTAGCTGGATTAGCGATGCTGTAGCAGGTTTAAATATCTTTTTAGTAGAGAACAGGCGACTGAAAAATATATGCAGTATGCCATGAAAGCTAGTCGCGCAGAGGTCTAGCAAAGTTGAAGACCAACATAATAGGGTATATTGTGATGTGCTCGTGGGCTGACTCGAGCTTTCCGTCAAAGTCATCTAGCATACTTTTCCCTGGTCGAACCGAACGCCTAAGAAACGCCGTCATGATGCAACTGAACTAAGCTGATCTCGCTTGTTCCTACTCCTCCATAGCTCCAACCTCTGTCACCTGCTCAGTCGCCTTGGTGTAGTAGGCCTTGAGATCGATCTTGAAGTCTGCCATGGCCACACCGAACATCTTCAGCAGCGCTGTTTGATGACTGTTCATGACCTTGCCCTCCTCGGCGATGGTGTGCGGCACATCCAAGATGATCTTGCCCTTGTCGAGCCTCGTTGGCATGCCCCATTTCCTGATGGTAGTCTCCATGCTGTGCGGCAGCGGCACGTCCTCCTCTTCGGGAATCTCTCCACCTCTTGAGTGGACAACACCAGCGGGTACTGTGAAGGTCTGTGTAGCGACAACACCGGCGCGCGCAAAGTCGGTTTGCGAGTAGTTGACAAAGTACTCAATGACCTCGCTGGGCTCGCGGTTGGTGAAAAAGAGTCCGACATTGCCGTTGAGGTGCTTGGTAAGCTCGGAGAGGTTCGAGAGGTGCTCTTCTGCCGGGCTTAGGCCAAGCGCTTTCGCCATGACTTTGGTCTTTCCGAAGAAGAATCTGCGCATTCGTTAGCCATGCGCGCATTGGATGAAAGCGCTTCCGCAGACATACCGGCTGTCAGCGAACTCCTGGCGAACTTCTTTGAGGTACGAGTTGCGCATGTTCTCTACGGCGAAGACGAAGATGTGCTCAAAGTTATCCGCCGCTTCCTGGACATTGGCAAAGAGCTTCAAAGATAGCTCCTTGCCCTTCTTGTCCGTCTTGGTAAGATGCACGACCTTCTGGCGCTTGGATTTGGGCATGGTGGCGGTATTTCGGGGGTGTTGTGGTTGGTGGTTGCGCTCAGGAAAAAGTTCGAAGTTGCGGTCGCGACTTCCAAAAAATTGAGCGGGGATTTTGGCGAACCCCCGATTGGTGCAACCGCGGCTGCTCCGCTGTGGATCCAGATGTCGCTCTCGCGCTCTCCAAAGTCTACGCACTCAACCTCACCCCAGTCTGCTCGAGATGATCAATCGATAACATAGCGATGTTGGATTTCATGGATAGTGTGCAGCATGCATTCTACGAGGCATCGGGCTGGAACGTCGACAATTCCTATGGCGCACTGAACGCGTCGGCACGGGGTACGTCACACTGGATGTCGCGTTCTAGACTGGATACTGACTGTAGATGACAGCATTGCTCGACTTTGACATACCCCGTGGGCTGCGCATGCAAATCTCCTCTCTCGCGGCCCCCAATTTCGCAACCTCGTACACCCTAGGCAGTGTGGGGGTAGTCGACGGCTCAGTATCCTACCTGTACTCGTCGCTGCCACTACGGAAGGACTTTAGGACGTCCCACATCGACCTCCACAACGTCATACGAGGTTACAAGCATGTGCAAGAGTTGCGGAGACCGGACGAGAAGTGGTCGTGGGAGGTTTGGCATGCTGGCCGCCGGATAGACCGCAAGAGTGAGCTGGATGACACTGCCTTCCCGTACCCCCGCTGAGTCAAGACAGACACCCTGTTGTATGGGCGCATATTCCTACCACAGCAGAGGCTCGAAGCCCTGTACCTCCGCCGCCTCACTCCTACGCGACAGCTGAGGATCGCCGCCGTGAGCGACTCCAATCTCAACAACGGCGGGACGATCCTGACGCTACTGCAAAATGACTTCGGCAAATACAGCACGGAATACATGTACAGCACAGACTCGGCGTTGATGGGCGTCCGGGGTCTTTACAACTTTGGTCCAGGCCCCAGAGTTGCGCCCGCAGAACCCGTTGCTGCAGAGCAGGTGGATCCTGTGCATGGTCGCTTCAGCGCAGGCGCTGAGCTGTACTATGGCATACTCAACAAGAGCGGGGGAATCAGCACAGGGGTGAGGTTCGCCACCCTACCCAACCATGCGGGCTTCCCGTATACCATGACGCTCACGCTCAACCCGTTGATGGGAAATCTCTCTTCCACGTATGCTGTCAAGGCCGGCCCTAACTTGGCCCTGTCCTCCCGCTTCGACTTCAACTTCTACTCCTATGAAAGTGAGCTGCAGCTCGGGTGTGAACTCTGGCGTCTGCGCAGCACAACCGACGTAGATTGGGCGATCAAGAAGTTGCGTCCAGATTGGAAACGCCCAACAACTTCTGCAGATGACGATGTATCCGGCGTGCTGAAGGCTAGAGTCGATCAGGATTGGCATATCGGAGTATTGTGGGAGGGCAGAATCAAGGAGCTGCTATTCACTCTTGGTGCGAGTCTGGACCTAAAGAAGAGAGAGCAAATGGTCCGCTCTGTGGGTGTTGAGCTGCAGTACTCCTCATGAACGATAACACGCACAGACGGCAATATCCCGATCGTTAAAAAGAATAAGTATACCGTTTGCGAAGGAAGGATGCACATCGGATCGACTGCCGAACTGACTCAACCGGCCCAGCCCAGGGTCGTCGACCACTGTACTGTTCGTCAGCGGTTGTTCTAGAAACGCGTCTCCCGCACATGGTCAGGGCATCAGAAAATGTTTCTAGAAGACGATGGCGTCAAACAGTGGGACGCAAACGAGGGCCGTGAGAGCCTTACAGTATCCATGCGAGGGCGACCATGTGTTTTCTGAACACGACATATATTGCAGGCTAGGACTCGAGTAAGTAGCGAAGTGTGCATGATGGCGTAGTCTGGTCCCGAGCGGTGTAACGCTGAAACAAAGTATGGGGATGGACGCTGCTCGTCACACTGCTTGGGTGCTGTTTGGACGTGTTTTCAATGCAGTGGCACGATTCGCAACATTCTGTTACACTTGACATTCTTGAAGGCAAACGGTGGTTGAGCATGCAGAGACGGATGAGGGACTTCCGCAAGTTGGGGGTGCAGGTGGACTGCAGATCCGGTCGAGGCCGCGCTCGGCGCGGGCCATGATGTTGTTGGTGGGAGTCAGTTTTCCGGGTTGGTGGTTGTTGTCACTCGCTTGCCGACGCGTCCACCATTCACACCGCCGTGCCTGGCGTAAGCCTTGCAATTAATGGTGCAGGGAAGCGATCGGTACTATAGATTGACAGCTGTAGGGCGACAAGACGGGCGACGAGCTAAGCTGAGTCGGCACTCTCAAGATCAACGAACTATTGCGGCTTGCCAAATGTGAACAATCTCGATTCCGTGGCTTTTTGACCGAGCGACGAGCGTGTCAGGATGGGAGCGATTAGACGGCACGGGCGCCGATGCTCGTCAGGATCTTTTCTCATGCTCGGCTTACCCGAGCGATCCGCACGAGGCTCGCGATCAAGTCTTCACGATACCGAAATGGGCCCTCTGCCGCACACTGTCAGCACCAGGAATGCGGGCGCGTACGGCGATGCAGGCCAGGTGCGACCGACACAGACGCGTGCCAGGAATACTTTGAACGCCCTGCCGGTGCGCCTTCTCGCTCACGCTCACGCTCACAGTCACGCTCTGGTGTGCCTTGCCCGATCGTTGCCGTAGTGAGCGCTCGAAGACGCAGGGCTTCTCAAACACGACAACGGTAGCGCCTCATGCTCGCGCGTTGTTTGGCCTGTCGGAACACGCTAAAGCGGACCATGAGGACGACGACTTCGCGGCCTTTTTTTGATAAACGAGCACCATTCATGCGCGCTGTTCTGACAGGTATCGCGATGCGAGTCTGTTGTCGCGGCCAGCCTCGCGGCAAGGATTGCCCTATAGGCGGCGGCCTCCTGAGTCTTGGAACAGAGCCTGTCGGTCGACCCTTGCTGTCACGTCTCTAGTGGCGCGACTCCGAGGTACCTCGCAGTAGTCCCCCTGATCGGAGCTATTGCGGGCAGCGCGTGCAGGCGGGCAGAGAGCACGCCGCACGCGCACCGTCGGATGCTGGTGCTGTTGTGTCGTGGTGTAGAGCGGAGGAACATCCGGTCAGAGTGTTGCGACGAGCATGGTTTGCTTCAGAACATAAGCGTTTTGGTGCGTCACCACTGGTCTCGCGCCTCCAGGGCGGGCGTCGAGCGGTGGTGCCGTTGGGCTAAAACCGTCTCTCTGGCCAGCTAGCGCCCTGCCCAGCCTAAGCTAGCCGGCGCGCACCTTCCCCCCGGCTTCAATGCCCCTTCCCTTAATCTCCCCTTTCCCAACCACGGTCGCTCATTTACATCCAAGGCCCTGCTCCTCTATCCGGATTCCTATCGTCACCTTTGCTGTCGGTGTGGTACCTACATCTTTCTCTTTCTCTGTCGACTTCTGCGAAGTGCCGCCACTCCTTTCGGCCTTTGCCCACGTTCCTTTCTTCACAACCCTCCTTTAGGCTTTGTCTGTCCGCTCCTTAGCACCTCTTCCTTCACTCTTGTCGACTTGGACTCGCTTTCGGACGATCCATCTGCTCCCCGGCCAGCAGCTTCCTTCACCCTTGACCCTTCTCACACGCGCCTGGACGGTGTCTCGAGCTTCTCACACACGTGGATTCTTTCTCCCGTGACATTGAACTCTTACCAGCTTCGCATAGCTCCACTATCTTCACCCACCACCATTGCTTGGACCATTACTTCACGACACTTTACGAACCAAGATAGACTGAGGTGTTAGCTCGATTGCTCCCTCTATATCTCCGACCCCGCTTCGAATCGAGTCCAACTCTCGCCCTCCGATCATCCCCACCACCCAACATGCAGTCAAACGACGACGCAATGGTCTCGCCCACGCCATCTCCACCGGCGTCATCCTCGACCCCGACGCAGGGCTCCGCCCCGCGCCGACCCCCGCGCAAGAGCACCCTCACCCAGCAGCAGCGCAACCAGAAGAGACAGAGGGCCACTCAAGACCAACTTGTGACACTCGAAGTGGAGTTCAACAAGAACCCCACGCCCACTGCTGCTACCCGCGAAAGAATTGCCTCGGAAATCAACATGACCGAGCGCTCAGTCCAGATCTGGTTCCAGAACAGGTAGGAAAAGCGAGCAGCATGATGCTTGTGCGCAGTACTGACACTTGCATAGGCGTGCCAAGATCAAGAACATTGCCAAGAAGAGCATCGAGAACGGTGATGACTGCAATGATATCCCAGAGTCCATGCGACGATACCTTGCCCTCCAGGCCATGGAGTCTGGCAAGTCAATCGGCACTAGTTTCCTGGGACGCGCAGGCGGTATGCCATACGGAAGTGGCATGCTTCTCAACACCGACGCCAACAACTCCAAGGTTGTCATCCACCACTTTGCTTGCCGCTCCCTCAGCATCGGTAGCTGGAGACGAGTCGGACAGAGCGCCATGGACCTTGTGGTATTCTACTCACCTGAGAAGTGCTGCATCACCTACTACATCAACAACGACTCTGCAGGATACAAGATTGAGTACCCGTTCTCATACATCAAGAACATTTCACTGGAGAATGGCGACATGACCGCAAACGCCGAGGGTGCGTCGCAACGCCCCGGAGGCCTGATTGTCGAGCTCAACCGCCCCCCGAACTTTTTCATGGACTCTTCCGGTTCGGGAGGATTTTTCCAATGCGGCGACTTTACCGAGGACCAGCAAGCATCAAACATTATGTTGCACCATTTGGGTGGTCACCCGAAGGTGCTGAGCGGTCAGTTGGCGAAACTTGTCTCACTGGAGTCGTTTCAGAACCGACACAACATGTTCGACCCAAACACATTCGCCGTCTCGGCACCGGTCTCGCCCATCAACCACCGGCCCGCGTCCCAACCAAACCACCTCCAGCACCCGCATCACATGGGCATGTTTCAGGAGACGCATCTTGCACCTCAACCCTTCCAACCGCGTGGTCACAAGCGCCAGCGAAGTCGTTCAGTGCCTGTTGCGATGGACTTTTCTATGCTTCGCAA